GGCAATTCCCCCATAATTTATAAACAATAAATTAAATTATTTTATAATTATTATTTAGTGTAATTTGTAATTACAAATATGGAATATTTACATATAAATATTATAGAAGGCTATTTTTATTCTATACATAAAAATGAGGTAATATTCATTTGTAATTAAATTTAATATTATTTATGATATTTATTATTAAAATAATATTAAAACATAAATATTTATATTTTAAATAACATATATTAAAAGATATTGTTAAAACGCAATCTGAAAAAAAGTTGTTAAAAATATATTTTTGATATCTTATTTTGAGTATATTTAAATAGTATGTTAAGATTACGTGTTTATTTAATAGTAATAAGTTTGTTATATATAAAATAATATAAAATTAATTAATTAAATATAATGGTACAACCTAAATTACTTGAAAATAGATAAAAACTGTTTATGTTTTAATAGTATTGATATAAGAAGATTTAACTTACGGGACATACCTCGTCTTCAGATGTCTGGAAAATCAGGCTCCACAGTAGGCCTTTGCAAAAAAACCGGACCCGAGGACCCGAACCGTGACCGAACCGAACAAACAGGGTATCGGGTCTACTCGGTCCTTGATAAATACCCGTATGGGTTTTGTCTTACAATACTTTCGGGTTACGGTTCGGTTCGGTGAATAACTGATATTCATTATCCGAGTGAACCGAAGCAATTAAGCATTAAGCTTCACACCCGACAATTAAGCATTAAGCTTCACACCCGACAATTAAGCATTAAGCTTCACACCCGACAATAAAGCATTAAGCTTTACTTCTTTGATTTTCCCAATCCACCGCTTGCTCTTGAGAACATTTATCATCGGCGACGACTCCTCTCGAGAACATCTATCGTCTCTGAGAGAATCGAAACCGAATCACTTAAACCCTACATCCGATTCTCTATAAATGGAGAGTCTTGATCGATGCAGCTCCTTCACAACTCACAGCAACAACATAAGAACTCAGTCTAAGCTTTACAATCTGAAACACTAAGTTCTTATACTTTTATTATTGTTCTTCAATCATACGGTTAGGTTTCACTAAGCAACCAATCTCTGCTTCTTAATAGTTAATATTTGATCGCAAATCTGTTTCACTGTGATCATATTTGATCTCTAGTTTGATCGATTTTCATTATTGTTCACAAATATGTTTCTCTGTGATCGTATTTGATCTTTGATTCTCTTGATTTTATTTTTGTAGATGGATTCATCATCAACTCCAAATGGAAAAGATAATGCCCATCAAAGAGAGCATGAGATAAATGGAACACAACCAGAGTTCTCAACTCCTGACAGCAGAGGAAAAAGAAAAGAAGTCCTCGGCTCAAGCAAATCTACGTCTCAACCAGAGAAGGCAACTAAGACGATTAACCCACGGTCAAGTGTTTGGGAACACTACACAAGGATGACAGACAATCGAGACAAATGCGTCTGTCACTATTGCAAGAAGACTTTTGCTTGTCCAAGAAAATCAGGGACGTCCAACCTGCAGAAACATCTTACCACCTGTAAACATTACAAATCTTGGGAAGAGGGAATGGTTCGTACTCAGCCTGCGATCGATCAAGATGGTCATTTGAAGGATGCCAAGGTTTCAGAGGTTGTGGTCTGTGAAGCTACAAACGAGATGCTTGTCCTTGGTGAGCTACCACTTGCCTTTGTTGAAAGCTTAGCATGGAAGTGGTTCTGCAACAAAGTGAATATGCCCAAGCCACAATCGAGGAGGACCGCAACAAGACGCATTATTGAAATGTATGTGAAGAAGAAAGCTGCATTGAAGGAATGGTTCAAAGCTAACAAGTAGAGAGTGTCTCTTACAACTGACATGTGGGTTGCTCAAGCTACAGGTAATGGTGCTATACTGGTAGTTTTACTTAGCTTAGTATTTTATATATAACATTCACGACTAACTTGTTTTTGTTTGGTTTCGTATAGGTGCTAGCTATATGGTGATCACAGCTCATTTCATCGATGCATCTTGGAAACTGAAGAAGCTGATCCTCGGCTTTAAGTACATCACTGATCACAAAGGTCAGACCATTCCAACTGTTCTACTTGAGTGTTTAGCTGATTGGGGTATAGAGAAGATTTTATGCATCACTGTTGACAACGCAACTGCAAATTCATCGGCTCTTAGGAAGTTTAAGGCTAGTTTTGGTTTGCTTGGTAATGATGCAATGGTGCCGTTTGGGGATTATATGCATTTGCGTTGTTCTGCACACATCATAAACTTGATAGTGAAAGATGGTTTGGCTGCTGTGGATGTTAGTGTTGCTGCTATTCGTAATGATATTTGCTATGTGAGATCAAACACTACTAGACTAAGATCGTTTGAACTGAGGGTTGATTCAGGAAAGTTAACAAGAGGCAGTTTACCTTTAGATTGTAAGACTCGATGGAACTCTACATACTTGATGTTGTCAAAGGCTCTTGAGTTCAGGGTTGCATTCAACAAGATGGAGACAGAGGACAGGCTATACAATGATTACTTCTTGGAGTTTTAGAATGGAAACAAACGCATTGGACCTCCTGAGATTGTAGACTGGAAGGCAATTGAGAGGTTAGTTCGGTTCCTCATTATCTTTTACAACTCCACTTTGGTTGTATCAGCATCCACTTCTCTGAACTCTTTTAAGTGTTACGGTGAGATAGTAACAATAGAGAAGAACCTTATAGGCTTGACTAATAGTTTAGACTTAGAGTTGAAGGCTAAGGCTGAGGAGATGGTTAAGAAGTTCGATAAGTATTGGGATGGTATGAGGAACATCAACAAGATGTTGATAGTAGCAACAGTGTTTGATCCTAGGAAGAAGATGAAGTTTGCTATGTTGTGTTTCGAGAAACTCTACGGGAAAGATACCGCAGATGCTAAAGAAATGTCTGCTTCTGTCATGGTTGTCCTTGAAGATTTGTTCAAAGAATACAGTACTCGTTTTGGTCCTGGTTTAGGAGTTGGAGCATCTCAGCCAACACAAGCTGCATCATTTGGTAGCCAGGAGCAGTCAACGGATGAAAGGATCGATTTGATTGATGATTTTGGGTACGAGAGGATGGATTGCATGTATGACGAGTTGGTTGAGCTGATAGAAGTTCGTGAAGCACAATATGAGTTGGAAACTTATCTGAAAGAGAGTGTTGTCAATCCGAGAACCATGCTTGGAGTGGAGTTTGATGTTCTGTCTTGGTGGAAGGTACATTACTCCAAGTTTCCTATTCTTGCAGAGATTGCTCGTGATGTCCTTGCCATACAAGTCTCTTATGTTGCTTCTGAAAGTGCATTTAGCACTAGTGGCCGAATCATTAGTCCTCATATGAGTTGCCTAACTCACTATATGATTGAAGTTCTAATGTGTTCTGAGCAATGGATGAAGGCAGACTTGCATGGCAGTGAAGGTAGAGTGATGACAATGGAACAGATTCTCAGTGAATTTGAGTATGAAGACAAGCTCAAAAGAGGTATATCACTTATAACTTATCAGTTATCACTTATAACGTTTAATGTGTTCTTGACAATGCTTTGCTTTATAACTTGTTTCAGAGTTTGATTCTCAAGCAACACAAGAGGAATGAGTCAAGGAGAAGCTTTGGAGAAGTTGAGGATGTGCTTGGTTGGTTTCTTTGCAGTATTTTGATGTTCTCGTTTTGTTTTTTAGTTTGTTCTCTTTTTGTTGGTTCTCTGTTGTTTTAAAAACTTGCATTTGCGACTAAGAAGTAAGATTAGTGTATGTTTTGTTCCTTTTTCAAATATGGAATGAAATTTTTGGATTACCTATGTGTTTCTGCCATTATTGTTGTTATTTCCAAACCCTTTGAGTCTTTGACTCCTTCAGTCTTGATTTATACAATTCAAACTTCAATTTTCAAAGTTTGAAATAAGCTTCTTGGGTCTTTATATGTACTGTCTTTATAAGAGCATACAACAAGAGCAAAAGATGATGCGCAAATCAGCTATTTGGGAGCACTACACAAGAATAGAAGATAATCAAAACAAAGGTACATATTACAACAACACTTTTGCTTGTCCTCCTAATATTGGCACATCCATCCTCCGTAGACATCTTCAAAGCTGCAAACAGTTCAAAGTATGTGTCTATGTGATAATGTGAAGAGTATAAAACAGTGACATGCTTGATATTCATGTTTTTAACTTATTTCAGACCATGATATCCAACCGAGACAAGAACTTGTTCAAGAAGTAATTGAAGTGATTTAAAGTTTTAACTATGAGAGCAATGGAGAAATGGGATTTTGGTTAAGTATTATGATCAAATAATTGATTTAAGTATTTTTTTGGTTATTTTGGTTACAATTTGGAACTGAATGGTTACTTCGGATATATGTAACCACAATAAATTCAAGTACAATGAGTATTTGGTTACTTGTCGGTTATTCAAACTCAGAACCGAACCCACCCGAACCCGGGTGGATCCGATCCGAACCCGATCTGAAAATTATATATACCCAAATGAGTATCTATATTGGAAATCCGAAAGAACCGAAATCCGAAATACCCGACCCGAATCCGATTGGGTACCCGATTGCTAGGCCTACTCCAAAGCTCACAGAAAAAAAGCTCACGATAAGAAATCTTAAGTAACCAAACCTTCTGTATCCCTAATTTTTACCCTACTAAGATTTATTTAGGTTGGATTCAATAAATCTAAAAATTTACGAGTTCAAAATTCAAACATCAGCGAATTATTGAAGTTTGAACCTGCTTATCTTCCCAAATAACACTACTCGAGAGATAATCCGTGCGCGGGGCCAAATTCCGACATTTGGAATTGGATTATGATGTATTGTAAACGCAATATTAAACAATTACTATATATTAAATATTTAAAAATTACTATCAAATTGTTATCGAATTTTCACATGAATTGATGACCATAAAAAAATTCCACCTGAATTTAATTCTGTAAATGTTTTAACTATAAACATTGACTAAATAATCATGTTCAGTAACCATTGACTCACAATGGCCTTTATAATTTATACTTCATCTTAGTTAATTTAATCCTAATGCTACGGAGACCTACCATATAGAAATCAATTATTTCCAACACAAAATTAATCATATATTCAAATTTATTCTTTGAATATGTTATTTCTTATTACACAAGCCAGGTTTTTGGCCTTTCGAGTCTTGAAATCACAGAGACATATCCCCTAAGGACTCTCAGAATCCTCAACCGGCAACACTTCTTTCGTAGTGTTCTTCAAAACTCCAACGGTCGGAGAATCACAGCTTGCTACATACTGTTGCACCACCAACACTGACGCAGACGTCGAAACACTTTCACTTGAAGTTAACAAATTCCCAACAGGCCCAAGCTCCGGCGTGTCACTTTTTACAACGTTTAGCCCCGAGGCCAACGAACCTTCCGGTGACTTCCCCACCAAGAAAAGATTGCTTCTTGAATACTCTTTCACAACCTCGCAAATGTCCTCGTGACATTTCACGATCTTCTCTACGTAAACGATCCGAGATTCGATGTCTGAATCAGAAGGAGAGCTTTCTTTTTTTATCAAGTTTTCTTTAAGTTCGGTTATAGCTTCTATATCAGTCAATTTAGTTTCCCCTGAGCATGAACCGGTTTGAATTTCGGTTATCTCCAGCTTCAAATTTTCCGGTTTAAACTCCTCACTAGGAATAAACCGAACCACGGTTAAGCTTATACCAGGATGTTCCGCCATACGAACCGCAAACGCCAACGCCTCACGATCATCATTCCCTCCAAAAAACAAAACCGTTATAACCAACGTGAAGTCACTAGACGCGACACGTGTCGCACCACCAAGCCCACGATCAACAAGAATCGCGACAGAACATGGAGCTTCCTCCATAACCTTCTTGTTAAGCAAACGGTACTCGTTCCTTGTCGTCTCCCACGTTCTGTCCAACCTAACGTGCTTATGAAACGGTAAAATAACCATAGCGGTGCGTTTGCTTTCAGCGCTTCGACATATATCTTCATGTATAGTCGCCATAGCTGAGATTGCCGTCATTGGACGAACTGAAACGCGGCTGAGTCTCTGGAAAGCCTCGAATGCGACCACCACCATGTCGGAACTATTACCAGATTTGTCTTTGTTCCAGAAAGGAAGACCGTTTTTTCTGACCTTGTGTGCCATTAGTATAGCAGATGATCTCTCGGAAAGCTCCATGAGATGCATGGCGTAGACTGATAGGCCTTCTTTACGGTTCGATCCTCGTGATGCTTCTATGAGGTTGACGATCGTGGGAATGTTCATTATGCTTTGGAAACAGAACATAAGACAAAGCGGTTTCTTGGTCCGATTTGTGTCCTCGACCGTTCGGTTATCGTAATCGCCACTGGTTCGCATTTTTTCTGGTTTATAAACTGCTAAAACTAGAGGAGTCGTCATGAACGTGGTGAATATCGCCATTAGAACCATTATAGCAAAAACCTGATCGTTTAAAACCTGCGGACAAACATAAAAATCAGGTAAATATGTATTTTACAGTAAAAAAAATCTATAAATTATAATATGGATAAATAAATAAAAACAATTAATTAATACTATATAAAATGTGTTAGGTCAAGGCTAAATATAACGAAAGGATAACAATCTTAACATTATTATGTTTAAACTTTTACTGTATATATATATATATTCATTAGTGGAATCTATTGACTTACCCCTCTATCTTTACCAATGTTGAGGACAATGAGCTCCACAAGGCCTTTTGTGTTCATCAAGAAACCTAGTGCTAATGACTCGTCAAGAGGAACTTTGCAGTAAAGAGAAACCACCACCGTGCCGACAATTTTACCAAAACAAGCATTAAAGATAACCAAAACCAATAGTCCCCAAGACTGAGCTCCTTGTATGGTCGCAACATCTGTCTTCAAACCACTAGATACGAAATAAAGCGGCAAGAAAAGACCCGACACGAGATCCTCAACTTTCTCAACCAAGGAACTCGCGAAATGACCTTCTTTAGGGAAGATAACACCAATCACAAACGCACCAAACAGCGCGTGTATCCCAATAAGGTCCGTGACGAAGCTGGCAGCAAGAACAACACCTAACGTGAGACACACGTAATGTTCTTTAACCGGTTCCCCTTCAGGACAACGTTTAGCAAGCCATTTCATCCCTGGCTGCACGGCAAAGATACAGAACAGGACAAAACCACAACCCGCAAGAAACACCCATAGAGATGTCAACGGAGAGCTCCCGTCGCCTGAGAGAGCCACCGCGAGAGCAAGTAGAATCCAAGCCGCCACGTCGTTAACCGCAGCTGCGGACAAAGCGATCTTCCCAATATCAGTTGTAAGGAGCTTGATCTCAGCGAGAATACGAGCCAAGACGGGGAAAGCTGTGATGGAGAGTGCAACGCCCATGAAGACAAGGAAAGGAGCTTTGCTAACACCATCAGCGATGGAGCTACGTAGAGCAAATGAAGTTCCGATGCCGAAGACGAAAGGGAGAGTGATTCCGGCTAGAGCAATGGAGAGAGCTTTCTTTCCTGTTCGCTTAAGGGATTTGGGATCGAGCTCGAGGCCAACGAGGAAGAGGAAGAAGATGAGTCCTAGGTTTGCAAGTGTGTCTAGGACCGTTAGACTCTTTGCTGGGAAGACAGTGTTGAGAAACTTTGAGCTTTTCCCAAGAGCTGATGGTCCAAGTAATATTCCACCCTAAAACCCCAATCACAACATTAAACACAAACATAAAATTACATTATACTCCATCTGTTTCAAATAGATCCATGTTCTAGGAAAAAAATTGATTTAAAAAAGATACATGTTTTACATTTTCAATTCATTTATTAATAGTAAATTGTAAACTTCAAAAAATATAATTGTATTTTTTAAAATTCTATTGGTTAAAAGTTATAGGGAATAGTTAAGTACAAAAAACAGTGTATTAATAATTTAAACTTAATAAATTTTTTTAATAAGCGTGAAAATGTTAAAACATGGAATATTTTGAACAGAAGAAGTACTATATATTTTTAAAAGTATGTGTTACTACTATTTGCCAAGTATTCGTAAGAAAAGTATGCATTAATTTATGACAAATCAATCTTAGTTTTGGGCAAACAAATCAATCTTAGTTAAGTTGTAGAAATTTTATGAAAGCATATCTTCCATCATTAATGGGAACGTGTGGAAGTATAAAGAATAGCAATATATAATAATATTATAAATATAATAATGTGTAATATACACTCAAAGCTTAACGTGTCATTGAATTTTGATGAAGAAAATGAATATTCTGGTGCAAATTCCTCGGAATATACGTCATTAAATATCACGACGACTAATTCAACCTTATGATTAATGTAGACTCGGTAACAATAACGCTTACATTTCAGAACTGGTAACCGTTTGACTTTTAACAAGAACCCAAAAATGGGTCGAGATTAATAAACGAATAAACTGAAGAGAGTAAACGAAACGTTACCACTATCTCGGCGATGACACGAGGTTGTCGGAGAGGACGGAGGAGAAAAGCAAGAGCACGAGTAAGAAAAAGAACGATACAGATCTGAAGTATCAGAAGAGGCAACGCATAATGCAAAGGATTCTCTCCTTGAAAGACTCCATTAGAGGTTGCTTTCATTGGTCCCGGACATGTTGTATCGTTTGATCCCATACCTTTTAGTTCTAACAAATTTTGTAATTATTTGGGAGTGAGAGAGATGGAGTATATAGTCGTTACTAGGGTTCTTTATATAGCATTCAGTCTAGAGAAATACTGATAATACCCCCTGACTGCGCGGGAATTATTTCTTCTTTCTTTTATACTAGAAAACATTATCTGAACGCTAGGGTTGACAACTAATAAACGAAGAAAACAAATAAATATTCACTAGACTTGTTTGTAAACAGGTCTCAAATTTATTCTCTCCTATCGCCATCATTTATCACAATTCTATCGACTTAAAGTTGACCAAAAGCTTCGTGGTCGAGTTTTTTTACCTTGCTCCTAAGCACATAAGCAATACCGTATATCTCGTACATACACACCAATTATATATGAGTTAACTCTCAGAATACAACACCGACCACCATTTTTTATATCTCAACTGGTCTAAATTAAATGGAATTTATTGATGTTGATATATGTAACCGAAATGAATGAATAAGACATTTTTTTCAGCTATTTTTCTCAAGCTTTTTACAGGTAGTTGTATTCTTTTGGAATCGATGTGCCGGTTTGAACACGTGTATGTGTTTTTATACATGTAAGGTGAAATAATTTGAATGTGTATGTTTCACCTTAACATGTCCGTAGCATTAAAACCTCTTTAGTTTGACCTATTTCGCTTGAAATGAATTCAATTTTGGATCGGAAAATATGTTTTGAGTCAACTTGAACCCTATTCTATAGTAAGATTGATTCAAAACAAAAGCTACTAACCTAAAAAACGGCTCAAAATGAACAAAAAAGTTAATAACATGTATGCAATAGTCATCAAGAATGATGGTACGTATCGTTATTTTTTGCTTTATTTAGCACCCAAAATTCGTATCATATTAGTTATAATTACGGGTACTATAAATATGTCAATGGTGCAATAGTATCGATTCCTGTCTGTTTTGACAGAGAAACTTTGTTATAATACTAATAACGGAACAGATTATTCGTTCAATTAAACAGATATTCAACGACACTTGGAATGTCAGATTGCAAACTTTTAGAGTATATCGTTTAATAAGTTAGTGTCAATGCTCGATTGATTGAAATCATATAGAAATGTTGGTTGGTTACTGGATCACATAGAAAATTTAATTGTAGCGTAAATAATGATAGTGATATACTAAATTAACTATATTGTCAATTATTGTCATAACTCATACAAACTATTATATTGATGTTTTAAATTGTATACTCAGATTATGATTAACCTTGAGTTGTCGAAAATTTTGGTATATTCAAGATTTTTTTAACTGTGCTCATATGAATATGTAAGAAATAACGTCCAGCAAGCAATTGAAGAATGGTATATAAATTAAGTAATGTGTGTTTAGTGTATATATAAATTAAAATCGAAAAGTGTATAAAATTGAAAATTCATGGTACAATGGTAATGTGTATTTAGTGTATAAAATATGAAAATCGTGGTACCATAGTAATGTGTGTTTGGTGTATAAAAGAGAAAATCGTGGTGCTCTGAATGTGCAATATGCAGTGTACACCTGTGCGTATCACATCTGTCATATTGAAGTGGTAAGCCACTCAAATTTAGATGACTGTTTTCTAATTACAATCAGAAGCAACTATAATCAACTCAAGAAATTATAAACATTTTTAGGAAAAAAGAAAAATTACGAGCCGGCAATATACAAAAATTAAACAGATGATGGAGTTTTGACACGTGTGGAAAATAGATACCAATGATTATACGTGGACAACATTGCGTTTTCGCATTTTCGGGCATGATAAAAGGTACGTTTCATTCGGTATTAGAACTTTAAATTAATAGAATAATTAATTATCAGTCCTATAAATTGCTTTCTTTCGACAAAGTCAACCAATACGGCAATACCTAGGAGAGGCTTACTATTCAAGGTTTCAACTTTGAATTTTAAGACGATAATCCGATGGATAGGATAGCATACAATTCTTTCATCAGCCTCAAATCGTCAGAGAAATTAGTACATTCTATTCACTTCTTCTTGTTCTCCACTTTGGATTTACATCACCAACTCTCTTTTACAGAACTCTCTTTTTATCTGAGTTTTGCAACGAAAACAAAGACTGGAGACTTTAAAGTAAATTAGACACCGAAGACAAAGTATTCATCAATCATTATACGTTGGATAATGAAATTTGAACAAAGAAAAAATAGATGAGTCGTCATAGTGAGCATATGTACATAGACTTTTTCCTCAAAGCATTGCTGTGTCATCATGTATGAAGCTGTAGTTTATTACAAGGATTCCTTTTGTATTTCAACTAGGAAACCCATTCTTATCCCCACATATATGATAAGATGCACATAGATTAAATTGCGGCAGGGCCGGCCTCGACACTGTCTCATGAAACATTTGCAACATACCTCCAATTTTATATGTCTTCCAAAAATAAAAATTCAATTATATTATATATATATAAAATTTTAATAATTATATACAACACACTTTAAATTTGTTTCAAAAGATGTAGATAATTGTTATTTTTTCTGTGAGGAAATTTGTGTCTTATTAGTACTTTATATTTGAAAGTATTTTTACAAGTTTATTTCTGTTATTTTTTGTGATATTATATATTGGTTTCTGTTTTCTATTTTGTTTCAGGCCCCCGAAATTTTAGGACCGGCCCTGAATTGCGGATACGATTGATATTTAGTACAGTAATAACAAATAAAATAAGAAACAAAAACAAGAGTTAGACAGTAAGATCTAAATGGTGTTTCGTAGAGCTACAAAAAGAAAATACAAAGTTGAAAATAGAGGACAAAGATATTAAATTAAGAGGAAATAGTTACATTAAGAAATTAAGAACAATACTCTCATTTTTATTCTCCTTTTCCTTTTTTAGCAACACTGTGGTGAAGATCTTTTCCATTATGTATCTGATTGAGAAAGACACCAATGGCACTCTACATATTCATATCTGTTGTCTATCAACAAAAAAAATCGTGAAAAACCTATTCTCAGAGATATACTCCTTACAATATGTTTTTTTTATGACAACTGTATTTACTATTTTTGAAAGACGCTAGCATTTACAAATTAGAATATACCGTTTACAATGAATAAATTCAAGTATTTACTAATGGATCAGTTTTATTCGACTACTGGTTATGTTTAATATAACTCAGAGAGTATAAACATACAATATACTGATACTGAATAGTTACAAAAGTGTAAAAAAAAAAAGAAGCATATGAAAATATCCCCTAGAATGCTGCAGAACTCCACCTACTGAGCATGAGCTTACTTGTAAAAATAAACTAGCTTTTGACCCGCACACCCGTGCGGGTATTTATTTTAATTTTTTAAAATATATGATATATACTTATTGTACATAAATATTTCTCTTTCCGTTTCATTTTACATGTCGTTGTAAAAAAAAGTTTCATTTCAAAATAGGGTGTGCGGGTATTTATTTTAATTTTTAAAAATATATGATATATACTTATTGTACATAAATATTTCTCCTTCCGTTTCATTTTACATGTCGTTGTAAAAAAAAGTTTCATTTCAAAATAAATGTCGTTTTATAGTTTGATGCAGAATTTTTTAACTTTATATATTTTTTATTGGTTGAAATGTGGTTAGGTGTATAACTAATTGTGTTTTTATAAAATATGTAAAATCAAATGTGTTATTAATATGTATGCAAAAACTTAAAACGACAACTAAAATGAAACGGAGCGAGTATAATATTAGCATTGAATTCTTATTTGTATTGAATGTTATTTTGTTTTTATTATACAAATTATTGAATGATGTTTTGTATCTACGGACATTTATCACATATAATATTTTTAGTAAACAATAAGTAAGTAATTAATTGAATTGATATGTATTTTATGTTAATTTTATGTTATTCATGTATATTAATATTTAAAAAATGCAAAATAGTAATTATATATGATATAAATTGACTACTTATTTTTGAATTAGAAAAATTGATATGTTTAATATATACGAAATGGTAAAAANACATTTATCACATATAATATTTTTAGTAAACAATAAGTAAGTAATTAATTGAATTGATATGTATTTTATGTTAATTTTATGTTATTCATGTATATTAATATTTAAAAAATGCAAAATAGTAATTATATATGATATAAATTGACTACTTATTTTTGAATTAGAAAAATTGATATGTTTAATATATACGAAATGGTAAAAAGAATTTTATATTATCATATTATTTGTGTTAGTTTCTATATATATATAATCAGTTGCAGATAAATTAGTTAATTGTTTACTTTAAGAAACAATCATTAATGTTGGCTATAAATAAAATTAATTGATTGTATTTTTTTTAAAAAAGATTCTGTTAAAAATAATTAATGCTAAAAACTAAAATTAGTTAATTTTTGTGGCATTATATGTAATTAAAAGGTTATTTTGAAGGTTAATTGATATTGATACTTCAATTTTAATAGGATAGATGTAAAATATGATGTTTATTTTTCTTAAAATATTCCTATTGTATAATTTTATTATTGATTACAATATCTCCAAAACCTTCCTAATAAGAACGGTTAAATACGAGTGAATCACACCACCAAATATCTTCAGAAAAACGTGGAAGTTTAGTTTAAAATTTCATATCCTTATTTTATATTGTTTCCATATTGAGTGCATAGATTTTCTTAAATAGGTTACACAATTTGCTAAATATACGGCAACCAACTTTGTCGTGTATATTTTTCTAAAAAAGCTTTAGTTATATGTAGCATATAATCTGATTCAGATCTAGTTGTCTAATATAAAAGATATGAGAGCAAAACATCTTCACTTTATAGTGATTTATAATGAATTTTTTAAATGTATTTATATAAAGTATATGGTTTTTGATAGAATTTTAACAAAACGGTAAGTAATTCAAATTGTAATTACTATGCTATGTAAAAAAAAACTTTATGTATCCGTAGTGTATATGGAGGAGGTGGTCAGAAATGATATGGTGGATATAACTGAAAGGAAAATTATAGGTTGAGAAGAAGAAAATTTTCCACAAAGCATACACGGAAATATTGAACATAAACTCTAAATTAATTGTAGGTTCCAATCGGTTGGGTTTAGTGAAAGAATAATAGATAATTATGTTAAATCAATTGGTATTAATTCAATGGCATAGACTTGTAAATTTTGAGGAAAAATAAGGGTTATTTCTTATTTGTACTTCAGTTTTAATAGTTTAGATTATTTGAAAGAAAGAATTCTAATTTGAATCTGAGAAAATTGCGGTTCAGAAATCAAATTAATGAGTTTGTTTAACAAGCATTAAACGATATGCTATTTTTATTATTTATTCAAAATTCCGATTAATAATCGTTTTAATGTTAAAATGTTAAAAATTCTCTGATGTTATTTGCAAAGTGATTTTATGCACTTTTCTTATGTGTTCACTGTGTAATCATTTTCACTAAAAAATATAACATGACATACTAGAAATGAGGATATTTATTATAGCTAAATGTGACATTAAATTATATTTAATGTTGATTTATATCTTTGTAAACTTTATAAACTATGATATAACTCATAATGTATGAGTCATAAGTAAATCTATGACATTAAATAATATAGTAGTAAAAATATAATTACAGATTACAAAATACTATATAATTCTTTTTTTTTAATATTTATACCAATATTATTACAAAGATATTTTCAAAATTTATTTATATTTTTTATAGTACCATTTGTTTTTTTTTCTACAATTTTAAAATACTGTTTATTTTTATTAATTGATAATTTTACAAGTTTACATCAATTTTTTCTTAACTTTATACAAGTTGATTCAATATATTTTAACCAAAAATATAGATAAAAATATATCTAAGTTTATAATTGTTAATATATACATATTTATTCTTAAATATAATTTAAAATAAACAACAAATTAAATATTTTATCTTAATTTTATGTTTAATTAAATAAAAATTTACATTAAAATATAAGTAAGAGAATAATAAAATCTAAAATATTATCAAATTTTTTTTTAATATATACATATATATAATTTTTTTGGTTTATAGTTACTAGAAAGTTGTACACTGATTTATTTGTTAAAAATGTGTATCCTAAATCGACACTTTTATAAGAAGAATCAACACTTACATATTTCATGGCCCATTAAATTGTTAAAAGGCCTGACATGGAAAGAGCACAATGGGTTTCATCAAGCCCATCTTAAAGAGGGAAAACATATCTGAATCTCTCTCCTTATGTATGAATACTACTATGATCTAAAAACGCTCGCTCCATCATCAAAATCTCATCTCGTCTTCTCTATCTCTCCAATCTCGCAAAACCAGGTACGTCTCCTCCTCCTTCTCTCTCTCTCCCCCTACATTTTGGGATCGCATATAATATATATTATGTTTGTTCCTGATAATCAGAGACATTTGATGAAAATGTTTCGTCTCACATTTGAACTAGTTTGTAAAATCTGGAATCTTAAAATCTCTTTTTGATTCCAATGTAGAATCCAATTGTCGTGTTTCTGAATCGTGAATTGAGATTCTGGTTTGATGGGCTATACAGATCTGCTTTGACCTTTTCGAACAATTGGTCAAATCATGATTTAGATTCATGTGATCGTGCTTTTTGCTTATATAAAGGCGTGGACTTTATTTAAAGTTGCCATTTTTTCGAATCTTCGTGTTTGGTTTACCTTAATCGGATGATTGTGGTTTTGTTGGATTTAAAAGACAGATCTTTGAGGTTTTCAAGAAAACATGGACTCCACTGGTAATCATGGAGGGATCCAGCAACTTCTTGCTGCTGAACAGGAAGCTCAGCAAATTGTCAACGCTGCTCGGACCGGTAATCACAATCTCTGTCTGTATTCTCCCATTCTGTCTGAAACTCTAGAATCGCTTAAGTTCTTGCATCTGATTGTTTTTGACCTTCATTACAGAATTAATGACTTTGGTTTGACTAGCATTAGTTTGGGACTTGGAGGTCACTTTTGTATTTAGTTACCAATATTGAAGACAATATCATTGAGATTAGTTATATGTTGTTGGTTGTTCAGCAAAAATGGCAAGGCTGAAGCAAGCCAAGGAAGAGGCTGAAACAGAGATTGCTGAACACAAAACCAATACTGAGCATGGTTTCCAAAGGAAACTCGAAGAGGTCAGATTACATTTTACAAAAATAAAAAATAAAAACATTTGTGCTTAAGCCTTTGTAAGTGTGATTCTTTTTTTTTTTTAATACGTCCTGGTCCTTTCAAACTTGACTACAGACGAGTGGAGATTCAGGTGCAAACGTGAAGAGGCTGGAGCAAGAGACTGATGACAAGATCGAGCAGTTGAAGAACGAAGCTTCCAGGATTTCAAGAGATGTTGTGGACATGCTTCTCAAACATGTCACCACTGTCAAGAACTGATATATATATATCTCGCAATCAATCAAGCCATCTTTGTGTGTACACTGGTTTGAAAGTGTTATTCTTTCTGAATGGATTTGTTCATTCGTTTCTTTTTAATATTTTGTGGATTCCATGTTTCAGCTGCATCGTTGAGTTGTTGTTTTCATCTCTTCAAAAGACGTATACAACGTTTGTGTTTGTATTATTGAGAATAAAGGAACCAATTGGATTTTGTTTCCATCAAGAAGATCAGTAAGCATGAATGTTTATGTCTGCTTGCCTTCGTGATTTGTGTTCAGACGGATTGGTCTTGATCAATAATAAACTGAAAATGTAAAGACAAGATTCAGTTTGATATCATCTAATCCATTTAGTACAAATGGTTTTTAGAAAAATGGAGATAGTTTATGATGTGGGTAAACGACCTTAAAAAGAAGAAAACGGGGTGAAAGGTGATGTGATGATTAACTATAGGATGGAAAGTTTGTTTAGTAATATTTTAATCAATAGCAGTGGATTTTGTAACAGAGTTATGAACTCTAGCAAAGGTATAGAGACTAGTAACGTAAGCCAAAAAGAAGACTAATAAGTACCTCATTACCGGTCCCGACGTAAAAAAATCACAAGCAAATTTTTTAAAATTGGCCACTTTCATAAATTTTGTAGATAAATTTTTCTAAAAATGGTTGATTTGTGCAAATCTTTTTTTATGGATTGGAAGCATGTGCTTGTAATGCTTCCCCTCAGGACCGCCACTGATAAGTATAAAAAGGTTTGGAGTTTTTTTTTTGGGTCAATGGATTATATCTATACTATTGTTTAAGAAGTAAATTTGCTTAGTTGTCAACTTCCCCATAAATTTAGGTAATTTTGTTTATTTATCATATTTATAATATTATATATAATTTATTTATAAATAAAACGATTTTTTGTGAATATATTATATTTTAGAAAATAAGATAGTTCTTATGAATTATGTTGTTATCTATAAATATATTTTAAAAATTATCTTATTATCTAGAAATATATTTTTATATATAAAACTTAAAAAGATAATTTTTATGTATTATGTTGTTATGTTGAAGATATATTTTATTATAAAAATTAAAATTAAGATATAAAATTATATTATTAATAATTAAATTTATATTTGAGAAAATAAGTTAATTCTTATGTATTATTATCTTGAATATATATTTTTTATTATAAAATTTAAAATTAACATGTAAAAAAATTATTCTATTATTTAAGAAGTGAATTTGATGTTTTCTGATTTGTCATATTTTCCATGATTTTAAGTAATAATTTTGATAATTATTTAAGAAGTAAATTTGTTTAACTGTTAACTGTCATGTTCTCCATAAGTTTAGGTAATTTTGTCTTGTGAATTATGTTGTTATCTAGAAATATATTTTAAGAATTATCTTATTTTCTAGAAATATATTTTTCTATTAGAAATTTAAAATTAAGATATAAAAAGTTGTAGTTATTCTATAATTGGAATAAATTTACACTAATAAAATTATACTTTTAGAAAATAAGGTAATTCTTATGTATTATGTTGTTATCTTGAAAATATACTTTAGATTATATAATTTAAAAGTAAAATATAAAAATTATCAATTATTAATTAAATATAAATTATCACTAAAGAAAAAATATTTAAGAAGTGAATTTGCTGATTCATTAAGTTCTCCATGATTTTAGGTAATTTTAATTATATGTCATAATTTTAATAATCTTATATAATTAAAAAATTATCATATTATATTTTTAGAAAAAAATAACTTATGCACTATATTGCTATCTTTAAAATATGTTTTCGATTATAAAATTAAAATTAAGATATAAAATTACAATTAAATATAAATTAAGTAAAAAAATTCTATAAATATTATAATTAAATATAAATCAAACAAAATAATTATATAAATATATTCTTTTAAATATTTCTGAAGTTTGAGTTTTGTCACTAATAATTATTTGATGTTTGATTTTTACTTTTTGAAAACATAAATAACTTATTATACCGATTTTCAAATTAATGAAACATTAACTAATAAATATTTATAAGAGAATTATGCCCGCAAGTGCGGGCAAAACACCTAGTTGTAACATAAATGTTTAGTGAGCAACATAGATTACAAGTGGAGGAGACGATTCCGGAACCATGCTCCATAGTACAGGGGCGGACCCAAGGTATGACACTTGCCCCATGCTGTTTTATCGTTTTTTCTCTTTAGTAATTAAAAAAAATACATCCTTAATTTACATTACAGAAAAAACGTTCCCCACCCAAAATAAACTAAATAACCTAATTAAGATTTCAGCCCAATAAACAATACCGAAACCCACTTTATAAAATAACTTATCTAAATCTACCAAAAATTTATTAGCCCAATTGCCCAAATACTTTAAACCCTAATCACCTCTCTTTAGAGAAAACCTCTGCAAAAAAAATTTCTTTTTACTTCTTTTCACATTTAACTACCATCAAACCATATAAGCTTGTTTTGGTATCTCTTCAAAGTAAGCATAGATACCATCTGTAACAATCTTCTATATACTTATTTGATTTCTAAGTTACTTTTTCGTATTGTGTATTATCGTTTTGAATACTATATATTTTTTTTCATTAGGTATTATGGAGAGATATTTTAAAAAACAGTGTGTGTCAAAGTCGAATACTACTTCAGAGAATTTGACCTCAAATCCTTTATTCTCGGCATAAAAACTAATGTGAAGGATCCAACTTCGACTTCAAAAATCAACAAGGATCTTGGAAGAATTACCCTCAGATCCTGCAGATAGAAAAAGAATATCTGAATATCATCATAATGAAAGAGATGAGGTAAGACGAAAATATCTTACTAGAGGTCCTTGTCAATCTCGTTGTCATGATTTTCCTAAGACACTAGTAGAGAATAAGTATAGAAGATTTAATCCAGCTTGGTTTGATCGCTACAGTAGGTGGTTAGAATATAGTGTAAAAACAAACAAAACATATTGTTTGTTTTGATACTTATTTAGATACTACACTGAAAATAAAGGTGGAAGTGATGAATTTGTGACAAAAGGCTTTGATACTTGGAAAAATCCGAAGAGGTTAGAAGACCATGTGGGACTAGTGAATAGTTTTCACAAAAATGTTATGAAGATGGCTGATAATCTAATGAATCAAGATCAGTCAATCACTCGTGCTTTTAATAAGCAGAATGAAGCAGCAAAAAATGAATACAAGATCAGATTGAATGCTTCAGTTGATGCTTGTAGATATTTATTACGTCAAGGATTACCTTTTCGAGGACTTGATGAGTCAATGGAATCAATCAATAGGGGAAATTTTGTTGAAATTGTGAAATATACTGCAAATCAGAATGAGCTTGCAAGTAAGGTTGTGTTGAAGAATGCTCATAAGAACAATCAAATGGTGTCTCACAAAATTCAAAAAGACCTAGCACATTGCTTTCCCGAGGAAGTTATTCAATATATTATTCAGGAGCTTGATCATGATCTATTTTTCTTGATGGTGGATGAGTCTGCAGATGTTTCTACTAAAGAGTAGGTGGCTGTGGTTTTTTGCTTTGTTGATAAAAAGGGGATAGTCAAAGAAAGATTTGTTGGTCTTATTCTTGTTCAAGAAACTTCTTCCGCATCTCTAAAAAGTGCTATTGATTCCTTGTTTGCAAAACATGGACTAAGCATGAAAAAGTTAAGAGGGCAAGGTTATGATGGAGCTAGTAATATGAAAGGTGAGTTCAATGGGTTGAGATCTCTAATTTTAAGAGAAAACAGTTTTGCATATTATGTCCACTGCTTTGCTCATCAACTTCAGTTGGTTGTCGTTGTAGTTGCTAAAAAACATTTTGAAGTTAGTGATTTTTTTGATAAGATTTATGTCTTGTTAAATATGGTTGGAGCTTCTTGTAAGAGACAAGATATGATTCGAGAAGACCAACGTAAGATACTCGAGAAAGGAGTTAATCAGAATGAAATTAAGACAGGAAAAAGATTAAATCAGGAACGTTCAATTCAAAGACCTGGTAATACTCGTTGGGGTTCTCACTACAAAACTTTATTGAGATTGACTGATTTATTCACTTCCATCATTAAAATGCTGGAGCATGTTGAAATAGAAGGATCAGATGGTAGCAAAAGGTGTCAAGTTAATGGTCTCCTCAAATACTTTCACACGTTTGACTTTGTGTTATACTTACAGTTCATGTTACTTCTTCTTGGTCTCACAAATAATCTATCACTGGCTTTACAAAGGAAAGATCAGGATATTTTGAATGCAATGTCTTTAGTGAAATCTACCAAGTAACAATTGTACAAGCTGAGGGATAATGGATGGGATTCAATTATTGGAAAGGTGAACTCCTTTTGCTAGAAAAATAAAACAGAGTTACCAGTATGGAAGAAGGATTTGTTAATCCAAAGAGGCCAAGACAGAGAAGCAACATAACAAACTTGCATCATTATCAAGTTAAATGTTTTTACACAGTATTGGATATGCAAATTCAAGAGTTTAATGATCGTTTTGATGAGATAAACACTGAGCTGCTTGGTTGCACTGCATCTTTGAGTCCCATTGATTCATTCCACCAGTTTGATCAGTCAAAACTTGTAAGATTATCAGAGTTTTATCCTTAAGATTTTAGCTCTCTGGAACGGATATCTCTTGAGCATCAACTTGGTATTTACATTGATAACATCTCTGAAGATCAAAGGTTTGCCAATTTGGAGGGTCTTGGAGATCTTGCACGTGTGATGGTGGAGACCAAAAAACATCGTTCACATTCTCTTGTTTATCGACTTTTGAAGCTAGTTTTGACTTTGCATGTTGCCACTACTACTGTCGAAAGATCTTTTCCTGCGATGAAAATTGTGAAGACTACTTTACGCAACCGAATGGGTGAAAATTTTTTGAATGCTTGTATGGTGTGTTATACTGAAAAGGAACATTTTGATAAAGTGACAAATAAAGCAGTGATAAAAAGATTTCAATATATGGGAAAGCGCAAAATAAATTTATAAAAATTTTGCATTATTTTTATTTTATGAGGGATTTTTTGTTTTTAGTTACTATTTCACTTTGATTTTAATTTATAAATTATATATATCACACATTTAATAGATATATTTATTTATTATTATTTATTTTATTTATTATAATAAAAATTATGTGCCTCAGTCTATTTAGATTTCTGGGTCCGCTCCTACTCGATAGTAACCGAAATAGAAAACATTACAGAAAATTGAAAGATAAAGCCGTTAATGGGCGAGTCATGCTCATCAATACGAATAAACTTGTGGGGAAACTCCATATTAATCCCTAGAAGATTAAAAAAACAAATATCTAGTCGAATAAAACAACGTTGAAACACCAACAATCAAGGTTGGAATGCTGACCGGCAAGAAAAATGTTTGGAGATTCTTACGAAAAATATGGGTGAGGAAAGGGAATTATGAGAATGGATTTTTTCACAAAATTCTTCAAATACTATCAAATAATTTAAAAATATTAATAGATTCTTATTAACAGTATTTAAAATTATGAAAATTAAATTTAAAGTATTTTATTTAGAGTAATTTACACTAGAAGACAGTTTATGAGTTTTCTTGTCAAGAAAAGGTATTTTGTTATACAGAGGCAGTTTATGGTTGTAAACACTTAATTTGCCCTTTCAAAAGTGTAACTATTATCTCAGAATTGGCACCCTTACGTTTACTCTTCTTTTTAAAAATTTTGAAATGGAAAGAGAGAGGTTACGTACCCGAGACGGGGAATAAACTCAATTTAATTTTTATATTATTATTATCTTGATTTTTTGGTTTTCTTTCTTCTTCATTTCAGATTCTCGAATGTTTAAAAAAGAATAGAGAAGAAAGAGAGACGAGTCGAAGGAGAAGCGGAAATTGAAAGTGGAAGAGTGAGTTGGATGTAGAAAAGATGTTGAGTCAAAGAAAAAGATGTGGTAAAGGGATAGAAAATGGTAAATGTTGTTTAGCTTACTTTACTAAACGACCTCATTATCATGTTGAAAGTGTATGTGTACAACAGGAAACCCGTGGATAGACCTGTGACAAACATTGTACACGTGAATATTGATGGACAATGAACCTTGTACACAGTATCCATGTGTACACAAAAAATGTGTACACAGGCAAACAATTACATTGTACATGACTAATGATAAACGTGTACATATGTACAGTACATATTGTAGAATGCTATCGAGGGTAGGTGTCCATGTGTATATGAGGATATTTGTAAATGTAACATAGTACTGCGTGGATATGTACACAGTTCCACATATATGTGTACACAGTTCCACAAACATATGTGCAGAATTTCACTTGCAATGTACATGACTAATACTAAACATGTACACATAAACATCATTTATTGTGTACATGAGGCTATTTGTAAAAATCATATGTGAAATGTATATGAGTAGACGCATTCATTGGTTGGTAATCATGTGTACATTATATGTGTATAGTAATCATGGGTAAATGTATATGAGTAAACGCATTCATTGGTTTGTAATCATGTATATGAGTAAACACATCTATTGGTTGGTAAAACTATTAAATATGTTCAGAAAGACAGTATCCGTGTGTACACAAAATGTGACACCTTCCAATAATTACTATGTACATGACTAATGCTAAATGCGTACACATGTACAGTACTTATTGTGGGATGCTATCGAAGCTTGTTGTCCATGTGTATATGACAATGTTTGTAAAGAGCATATGTGGAAATGTATATGAATAAACGCATTTTTTGGTTCGTATCCATGTATACAATATATCTATCGTACATATGAATTAAAGACGTAACACAGTATCACGTGGATGTGTACACAGTTCCACATACATGTGTACACAGTTCCGCACTAACGATGTACAAAACTATTAGTAAACATGTACATTTTTATAGCAGTTTGGTGTTTCCATGGGTTTGTTTGTATTGTACACATAACTATAAATGGATAACAATATATATGACCAATGGTAACAGTGTCCACATGTACATCAATTAGTCGTAAGTTTTATGTGTACACAGGTGCAAGTGTATGTGTACACAGTTCCACATACATGTGTGCAGAGTCCCAATGTGCAATGTACATGACTAATGCCAAATGTGTACACATGTACATTATGTATTGTGTACATAAAGATATCAGTAAAAAATGATACTGTACATGTGTACAATTATAAGAAATTAGGTAATGATTGCACGATCTTTCAACAATAAAAGCATATATAAAAATCCATAGATATAGTGTCATGGACAATGTCTCTTTATATTTGGTTCATGCTCAAATGGCCAATTTACATATAATATTTTATTTTAGTTAAGTTTTGCAACCAAAATGTAATTAACCCTAGTTTCACGTTTCAAAGTTTCAAGTTTCAAGAAAAACCCAATTATCGAGACAGCGCCGCACACCAGCTTTCTCGGCGCCGGAGAGGCCTTTGGCCGCCGGTGTCGGGCCATTTGCTCTGCCTCTTGCTCTTCACCGTCCTCTGCTTCCTATTCCGTAATCTTCAGCCATCTCTGTTTCTCTGCAACCATGGTCGACAAGCTCTGTTCCAGTCCGTTAGTTACCTTCAGCTACTGGTTTCGTTTCAGGGTCGTCTCCTACGGCTCGTGTCCTGTGGTCTTCTTCGAAGATCCACTCACCAGATCTGTCCGGATCCTTGTACCTGTGAAGTTAGCATATGGGGCTCAGACGGAAGTTCTTTCGCTCACCGCTACCATTGTCCTTCCTACTCGAATCCCCGGCGCCGCGCCTCCCTGTGGAAGCACAGCCACCGGATCTACCTTTCCCGAGCTTGAGCTCGCTAGATCTGGAGTGTTGTGTAGTTCTAAAGTGCCTCCCAGATCTGTTCTCGCTGAGTTTCCCATCTCCACGTGTTGACTCCTTCAACACTCTCAAGAAGACACTCTTCCAGATCCAAGCCGGGTCCGCAGCAACAACGAAAGCTTCAAGGACTCTGGTTTATACCGACGAGTCCAACCGGATGTGATGGAGTTGTTCCGTCATCTTTCGCTGAAGTTCTTATACGACCAAGACCCAATGCTCTGTTCCGGTCATCCAACAACGACTCAAACGCGTTCAGTTCAATTGGCTTTGTGGTTTGTTTTGTCAGATATATCTTGGTAATACCTTACTGGTCCCGACACGGTAATGTCGAGGTACTAAGTGTTGGACTGAGTTCAATTTCCACTCCGCCACAAAAGTTCAATAGTTTTAGAGTCTATATGAAGATGAAGATGTCTCTTTTCTCAGATTGTTCAACCGTTACGACCAGGGTTCACCTAGCCCAAATCAGTGATATTGTGTTCAAGTTGAAGACTATATTTGTTCAGTCATCACAGGTCAGTAAAGTGTGTAGTTGCTCTGCTACTGTAACTAGCACTATCCGGTTCCTTAGTTCATCCTCTATGTTCGTCAGCGCCAAATCCAGGATTGTTATATCCGCCTTTTATGTTGAGATTCACCTAGTCTCTTCAAGGAGTCTTTTCATTGGAGCTAGGGCTTGTCTTTCTCATTCCGCATCTTGCCAAGCTTTGCAGCTTGGTCAATTCAACGTCGCTTGCGACTATTTCATGCTTGGGGTAACCTATTCAAGGATGCAGCTGAAGATTTTCCATGGTTCTCCATCTATCGAGCAAGCATCTCTCGTAGTCTTTGTTTATCTCTTGTTCTTCTTTTATGCTCTGCTTTATGTTGTTCATCAAACCGTTGAGAATCCCTCCGGTTCTATCTTTTCGGATGTAATCGTTTTGAACCTTTTAGATTAATATAATCATTTGTGTGCCAAAAAAAAAGTTAAGTTTTGCATATCTATATCATATGTACATGTGTACGATTATGTGTACATGTGTACACTCTTTATTGTTAAAACAATGTACTATATATATGTATAATGTATACATATAAAATATCACAAGAGATAAAAAAAATGTAATTTGGAAGTGTTAGGGTTAATAATGAAATGATGTAAAAGTTGAGGTACCACACGTTCAAAAATGCTAAAGTTTTTTTTCTCAAAAACGCTAAAGTTCTCTATCAAAACAAGGACTAAATTGCATATTAGAAAATATAAGGCCAGTTAAATTTATTTTCAAAATTAACCAGAAATTTTATTTTCAAACTTAACCAAAAACTTAATTTGAGCGTAAAAAGAAATATGCTATTATAGCTAAAACTGCAAAAATACTTTTTCCATTCGCTAAACCTATCTGAAAATCGAATGTTGAAGTCAAATGAAATTGTTAAAGACTAGTAAACATGGTTTTCAAATAATGAAATTGTTAATGATTTCTCTATAAGTTTCTCTTTGGTTTGGAATGACTTGCAATTTCATGCGATTTAATATATGAATATTATTACTGTCTATTTAAAAACATATGTTTAATAGTCAAAAGAAAAAAATCTAGAAGTAGAAGACAAATAAGATATGTGTACACTACATATATACTATCAAATAACAATCATATGTACACATGTTTTATTATCATATGTACATCGAATAACAAATATCCATATGTACACTGTTTTAAAAGTAAGGGTAAATTTGTAATTTTGTCATCATCTCTTTTTTGTAACCTATCTATGATTTATCACGCTCAACAGACGGCCGTCTTCACCCCTCTCCAGATTTTCACTGGTTTTCATCACTTTTTAGTCATTTAAGTGAAACTTTACAGATCTAAGTTAGAGTTTAATTTTTTAGCTTTAATTACATTAATCGAGAAAGCAATAGATTGATGAATACAAATGAAACTTATGAATAAGAGTTAGTTCATATTAAGCTAAAATCTCAGATGTGATAAGATGTATCTTGCACTGTCTCTTACCTTAAAATGTCAAGTTCATAATTGCACTGTCTCTTACCTTAAAATGTCATGTAAACTCATCGTTAACTTAGAACCAAAATTATTTTGGCCAAAAATTAAAACATTTTTAAAATCTGGTGTGAAAAATAGAAAAACAAAAAAAGTTGAAAAATAAAAAGATAAAATATAGAGCGTGGGACTTATTAGTTATAGTTTTGGTTTTGGTTTTGTTTCAACTAGAAATATAAACTAAAATGTGATTAAGTTGAGAGAAAGTGTTTGAAGAGTGCAAAGTGTCCTAGAGTGTAATTATAAACTTGAAAAGTGACTCTTTATGTAATACTTTCTTTTATTTAAGATATTTTGTAATGAATTTCTGATTTTAAAATCCTTACTGTAGAAAAATATATTTAAATATACTTCACATCAGACAACTGCCAATTTTCTACACTATCTTTGTTTATGCCCAATAGTCCACAGATCAATGAAGTTAAGAAAATCTATATAGTTAATGTCATTATATTTTTCTATAAAAATTAATAAAAAGTACAAGATCTGGAGCTTATAAAAGACCCATCACTATTTTTGCATACTTGTATCCGTTGTGTATTTCCTTGCATCATTCAATATATTTTATTTTACTCCTCTCTGGTCTTTCTCTCTGCGTCAACTGTTCTTTTGTTCAACTCTATCTCTCCATTAATCTTCTCCATCCAATACATGCATACATACCATCATCGTATCTCTCTAATTTTTATTTATCAATCTTCTTTTCTCTCTTATCTCTTCCATTCTACCTTACATACGAATTATTCTTGTCAAAAGATCCATTTAAGACTTGCTTTAACTTTTTACATGGGATCTAGGGTTTCTTTGTTTTACTTCAAATCTTGCTGCATATCTTTCAAGATCGTGATTTCCTGTTTGCTGGGGTTCTAGATCCATGGATATATAGTACACATACATACACGCACTAATTCGTACCTGTAATTTGTACGGAAAACACCATCTAAAATCACGCTCGGAATAATTTTTTTTTTTCGTTTGCTTAGAGAGCCAGTGTTTCAAATACATGTTGTAGGAATATATATAGACAGAGAGCTTCCTTGAGTCCATTCACAGGTCATGATATGATTCAATTAGCTTCCGACTCATCCATCCAAATACCGAGTCACCTAAATGTCAACTTAGACTCGTTAAATGAATGAATGATGCGGAAGACAAATTGGATCGTTGATTCTCTCTGATTGGACTCAAGGGAGCTCCCTCCTTGTGTTATTCTAATATTCTAGTTCAGTCTTAAATTTCTATTTGTTCCTGCATAAAAAACAATTCGATCTACTCAAAATATAGTCATCCAGACATAACTATTCGTATGTGTATGTCTGGTAAAATAAACATTTTATATATATTTTTTCTTCTATGCTTAAGACTATTGTCTTGAATACGTGAAGATGTATATGACCATGGTGTGGTGAATGTTTGAATCTGGTATCTCTTACTCTCTTTATGACTCTATCGAATAAGGCGATCTTTATCTCCCTCCGCTTCATTTAACCATCATTCTAGGTTTGCCATAATTGCTTGATTACCCTAGCGAAAAATTAGGTTTTCTTCACCTAATTTATGACAATTGATTTTGTAGATATATATATATATATATATATATATATATATAACCTTCCTGAGTTAATCATGTACATGTTTTATATTTTTTTTTTATTCTTTCGCTCTCTCTGGGAATTAGCTGTTGCAATTTACAGTAAGCTTTTTTCTACTTTACATTTTAACCAAAAAAAGTTGGGTTTGTCTATTATTTAGATTTTAGATGGCTAGGGTTTAGTGTTAATTGAAAATAATTTAAATGAATAGAAGAAAATGATAAGCTTGACGACAAACTTAGTAGCTTTGTTGTCTCTTGGAGCAAGAGTTAATGCTGCAGCAACAATTTCCACAATTCTCATTTTTACACTTCCCAAATATGTTCCTCTTTCTTCACTCTTCAGTGACATTCTTTACTCTTTTTATATTTTTGGAAATCTAAATGTTAGGGCTTCGGCTTTTGCTTTTCTAGCCGTTGGATTCTTTGGAAGTTGAAATGGCCTTTGGTATCCATTGCGAAATTCATGCGTATACATTTTTATTATTAATTTTTAATTAAGACTCGATTAAATTCTTGGAAAGTTGCAGTGAGAAAAACTTGAGATTTTTCTATGTTGGTGCTAATTGAAACCATGTCAATGAAATCACGTAACAGAATTGTATTGACTACTTTTTTTAATCAAAATTTATTCGCAATCATTATTACGAATTTTTTCCCTATGGTCACATGTTTCATTGATGTCTACCTATCGGTGTGAAAACATTTCCAACCATGACATCAAATTTAATGTAATAATTACATTAATTTTGTTATTCTGATGTCAATTTTTTTTGTCATCTCTAACAATAACATCAGATATTATACCAAAAATAAGAATATATATTATTTAATGTTTTAAGTTTTAATAATTTTTTTATTTTTAGTATTTATAATTGATAAATAATTATTTTATCACAGTTTGATATTATGTTTGTTAAATTTTGCAATTTATGTTTATAAAATTTATTTACATTTGTATTTTGGTTTAACAATATTATATTTTAATGTCTTTATTTTATATAATATATTAGTTATATTCAAAATTATAAAACTATTAATTGTGAAAAATACATAACCAAATAATATATTTGTTTTAATAATATTTGTATTAGTTAGTAATACAAATTTAACTATATTATAAAATAAGAATAAAAAATATTATTCTAATGTTTGTGAATTTAATAATATTACATAATGTTTACTTATTTACTAGTAAATATAATTTTATAATAATATAATATTATTAATTATTCATGATTGATTAAAACTTCTATGATATTTTTTATAAAATAAATGATAGTAGTCACTTAGTGTTTTTTAATTGAAAACAAATTTAAAAATATTTAATTATGTAAAAAATAATTTCGATATGAAAACAATGCAGTATATTTATGTTTAGTAACAAATTTGAACTAACTAATAATAATAAATGAATTATATTACGCATTGAAATATAATAAACTATCTTTATTAAATATTTGGTAGGATGAATTGTGTTACACTAAATTTAGTGTAATACTATTTATTCTATACCAAATTTGGTGGGATGATGATGTCATTTTTGATGTCTCATTGAGGATTAAATTACACAAAATTTGATGTTATAGTGTTTCATTGAAGTTGACCTGAGTTTTCTGTGACACACTTCCTTTATTTTTTGGGAAAATTGTCAAATATGACTCAAAACTTGATTTGAAATGCAAAAGTAAACCCAAACTTGAATCAAATGCAAAAGTAACTTAAAAGGCTATTGAAATTACAACCAACTCCTTGTGAACAAACAAAAAACGCGAATTTTTTTTACGTTTCTAGCCCTCGCAAGTCGTCTGCCCAGACGACTTTCAAATAAGTCGTCCAGACGACTTAACTGGAAGTCGTCTGGGTCAGTTTTTCTTAAAAATAATTTAAAAATTTTGTAATAAATATTTTGATAAATGAAAAATTGGTATTATGTAATTACCATATGTCTTAAGAGATATAAATTAAGATATAACAAAAGTCAGTTGTTTTCAGCATAGATGAATGAAAGTAGTGTGTCATGATATTCTTTAGTTTAGGTTTCACCAACAT